CTGCTTGGATTTCAGGATGATTTCCACTGATTTGGCCACTTTTAAGCTGTGGGTACACCGGCAGTATCACCTGACTCAATAAAGTTCCATTTTTCAATCGATTTTTGTTGAAAGAACTAGATGGAGAATTGTTGATAAGACAGGGGCTGCATCCGATCAGATGCAGTCACCATTTGGGTATTCTGACAGCCCTGGGTGCCTGCCAGCAGCAAGGGAGTTTCTTTTCATCCACAATGGGAAGCGACTGATATCTTACTGAATCCTTCCGCCTCCAGACATCTTTGCCCTATCTTTTTTCAGGCTCATGATCTTCAGCCATCTTCAATGGGTGGGTCAGAATGATGTAACTCCTGCCTATGTGCATAGGAGCTCACTTATCCCGGCACTAAGGTGTGCAGAGAATGTACACTGAGCTGTATTCTAAAGAAAGCTGAGTACAGGCACAAAGATTTATTTTGTTGCACAAAAGACAGTGCATCTCTTGCAATTTTGTAAATTTTTTTGTTTACTTCCACTTTGAAAGGTAATTGTGCTGAACCACTAAGATCTCCCTCTAGTGGCTCTCTATATTTAGTACAATGACCTAAGTAAAGAAAAGAAAATCAGTGTAATCTGAAAGCCACATCAAAAATTAATCGAAAGGTAAACACAACACTTAAAATATAAACTCTATAAAAGTGTTATTTTCTCTAATTCTCATTTCATTTAAGTTACTAAATCTAACTCTGCAGTTTCATCTTCCATCCCAAGCTGTGTGATATTTTCTGCTTCTCTTTTGAGGGAAATATGTACAAACACAGCACTATACTTTGAAATTAGTTTCCTGTGCTGTGGAATGGGTGGATGTCAGCTATTTCATATAAAACAATCTCTGTGTTCATGCCGAGCATTTCAGACAAATCTCCCTAGCCACCAGCAGTATGATTTTTATGTAAATGTTATTAGACTGCTCATCTGGTGTGACACTCGTACATTACACAGCACGATGGTCCTCTGGGAGCTGCAGCCACAGCAGAACTTCAATCCCTGCTCCACAGTGTCTGCTCTGGGATCACATAAAACTGCCTACCAATAAAAAACATTTAAAGGAACACATCATTGTTCATTTTAACCTATATTAAAATTTATTTAAAATTCAACTCTAAAAAAAAGTGCACACATAGTTGTTTCTATGATATTTTAGGTATAAATATAAAAGAGGTCAGCATGACATGTTATCAGTGAGAATTAAAGTAGTTGTAAACCTCAGAAATGAAAAATGAACAAAGCATATCCCTATATAGTGTATTTGACTCAATCAGTTTTCCTGACACCAAGAGAAAAAAGGCAACAGGTGGGAATTCCAGCAGACTGACAGCCTCGACTCTGTTCCTATGTGAAGGTGAGTGTGTCCCTTATTTCCAATCAGCTTTCAGAGCTCTCTCCACTGAGCTGTGCAGAGTGTGATTTCAGCTCTCTGCCTCCTATTTTCTGAACTCTCAGACAAGCTTTATACATTTGAATGACTGTAAAGAAGAGAAAACTGTGAATAGACAAGCACAACTGAGGCCAGTCACTTCAATGGGTACATGTAAGGATTTAAAACCACTTTAATGTTTGAAAAAGCCTTGTTTCTATGTACAACATGCAATTACGTACTGAATGCTTATGCAAATATCAGGAAAATCTTTTCTACCTCTTCCACAGAGAACTTTCCTCCACACAGCATGGGGGGACTTTACAAAGGCAAGCAGTCTGTGCTCAGTGCGGAATCTGAGGACTGACCAGCCATTCACAAGCTACATCTGGAAAGTTCTCCATAGAAGGTCACAAGTTCTCCCATAACCAGAAGAGCCAGTTGACCAGTAAAGCAATCCTATCATAGTCATGGGCAACAGGAATGTAAGGTCTGGGGGCAGGAGGGACCAGGCAAGCTCTCACTCTACCTGAAAGTGTTGGAGATTCACCAGACCTCACTACCATCTGAACACCTGTAGAGCACTCCAGGGCATTTGGTTTTCTTGCACAAAGAAGATTGAAATTATCGCTTATAATTTATATTTTGATGAATAGTTTTTTCTGTATGTGTATAAATTTTTGTTATACAACATACTGGATATGAGAGTGTCATTAGTGTGGGTGATTTACTGAGGTTTTGTTTTTTTTTTATTTTAATTTTGCACATAGCAGCTCACAAGGTTTTGGTATTCATATTCCTTTACAGTCTACATGTGGTTTTGAAAATCTCCTGAACTGAGGAGGAGAGAAAAGTTCAAAGCTTACTTATAGCAGACCTAGAAACTTTTAGTTAACAAGTTGAAGATATATATTTCAATTGTGGAAAGAAAATCACCTTATAACCTAGTTTAGTAAATAAGAGCTCCATCTTCTGCCACCTACTTCACTACTCTATACTGTAGTAATATGGGGGCCAGTGGGTGAAATCATACAGTGTGACCAGGCACCAATCCACCCTCACCCCCTAGGAGTGTAAGAGAAGCAGAAGACTTTACGGGTGCCGTAGTTCTTTAAGAATGAAGACAGGACATACACCCACCAGGCTGGATGGTACTCTTGATCCTCCTTTGCAGGGTGACTTTTCAAAGCAAAAATTATAGACAAAATATTGCAACAGAGTTGATTTAAAAGAAGCTTGGGCTTATGAGAAAAAAAGTAAACCTCCATGCTGCAACATATACTCAGGTGTCGGTCTGCTTGGAGTGGAGAGAAGTGACTGTCAGCCATTTTAACTGAATGCATAACTGGATTAAATTGTGTTTTTTTATTTATCTGGAGTTGAGATGTGAATTCTCAAACAGTAAATAAAGTACGAACGTATTTTTCTTCTACATTCAAGTGTCTTCTAAAAGTAAAATCATAGTTCAAGCAGAACTACTGCTTGGCTAGCTCTAACTGTTTGTTACCCAAGTCTCTTCAGAAGTGATCACATGACCTGACATGGGAGGATTTGCAGAAAACATTTTTACCATTTAGGCATTTAAAAAATGAGGATAGCAAGGCTGAGAAAGATATATTTTGTTTTAGTTACACTTTAAAATATTGATACCCATGGGTACTCTTAGTTCCAGCACTTTGCTGTAGTTCATGTGGTCCATATAAAAGCATGCGAACATGAGTTGCAAGCAGCTGACTGTGACCTTGGTAGCCAGAGAAGGAACCCTGCCCTGTAATGTCACATTCAGCTCTCTGAAAGATGATTGTGTTCATGACTAAATTCTCTGGCCTGTACACATAAATCTCGGGTCATAAATAGAGGTAACTTGTCCATACCAGAAATTCTTCTTCCATCATCTTCCATCACTAATTTTACTCTATTAAGCTGGAAGATGTGATAGTGAAAACGACTGAAGAAAAATAAAAGGTATTTATTGTGAAAAAGCCACCACCTGATGAGTACAGAATGCAGTCAGTGGAATGTGACTGATGTATGGTTTCAATGCACAATTACATCATTATTCAAAAACCTTTCTTTCTGAAATTGTGTGATCCAAGAGTTCAAGAAACTATATTATAAAGAAAAAATTGCTGCTATAATAATACCATACACAGAAAACTGCTGCACATTTCATTTTATTGTTATTTTGTTAGCCCTTACCATCCAGTTGAATAATGATACACATGTGGGTAACTGTAAAATGTAATACCCCCACAACTCCTGCAATCACTGTTGGCCAGTAGGGTCCCTCTTCACAGTAATGTGCCAACTTAAATGTGCACAAAGTTGCAGACCTAAGCTCGACTTCCAATGCTTCAACCAGAATTTGCATATTAGAATACCCTGGCTTTCAAGGTCCCTGGAGTACTCCAAGGAGTGTAAAAGTAGATCCAAAGCTGGCCATACATGGAGCAGATTTCTGCCAGGTTTCTAATGAACAGGCTGAAATTTACTTTGTGGAAGTTCTTGTTGCCACCTTCCTGCCCGACATTCTTTGATTGAAAAATTGTTGGATGAACAGCACCTGCATCCAAACAGATGCAGGCACTGTTGGGGTATTTTGACAACTAGCAGTGCCCAGAGCAGTTCATTCCTGCATCTATTTTGTTTAGCATGATTGTAGGAATCTTAATTTTTTTTATTCAGACTGCTGTGGTAAAAAAAAGCCTATGTGGGTATGGTCAGCTTGGGTGTCTGCAGTTACATTTTGGCTTCAGTTTAGTATTTTTAGGTTTAAAAAGGTACACTTTAGGTTCCACCCACTGCTGTGATATATCTCACTTAATCTACTCATTTCCAGGAGCTTCCCAAAAGTTGACATTGATTTGGCTATAATATGCAGTTTGTCCATTTGTCTGGGGCTTAATGTAAGCCTGTCCATTGAAATCCATCTGTCTGTGCCAGACTGATAAATAATCTGTTGCCAAGTAAGCAAAAACAAATGAGTACCGTCCATATACTTTAGTTTTTTTTTTATCTGCCCTAACACATCCAAATTTTTTGAAAAAGCTTTTGGGGTGTCCCCCCTTCTTCAAGGTCCAAGCTGTACTCTGAGCTGCTTAGAACTTGAAGAAGAGTCTACACCCTGAAAGCTTTTCCTGAAAATGTATACATTAGCGAAAATAAAAAACGTATCACGAACAGTTTTCAATTGATTTTGATGCAAGTGCACTAACACAGTTACAATCACCTCATCGCTGAGTAAGAAAATATTGTATACTATGCATGAGATCACACTCCCTACAGTACTGAATAAGTGAACTCAATATTCAAAACTCAATATTTAATTGCCAATTTATACAGATGCAACCTGCACTCTCGTGCTTTTATAAGTGTTGGTCCCCTTCGGACAGCCATGGCCTGTTGCAAAGGTTTTGGTTGCTATGCACAAGTCAGCTCAGTCATGCAAAGGAAAGTTTTATGCAGGTCAGTGTAGCCTCAACACATTTTATGAAATTATATGCCATATCATCATTACCACCATTATGATATGCCATATTACATGTTTCAATTCATATGTGCTAAATAGGAAATTTAATGGATATCATGTTCAGCTTGCACTTACCACTGCTGGCACTGCCCTCTCTGCCATCCCTTCGACTCCGGGCACTACTGTCTCTACCAGATCTTACACGCTGCAAAGAGAAGAGGAAGCATACTGAACTTCATTAAATTAAAAAAAAAGAAAAAAAAGAGTATAGGACACACTGAAAAAAAAAGTTGTTCACCAATCAGAACATCCTTACAAATGATAAAGAGCACGCAGCAGCCATTAGGCATGCTTGTTTACAATTGCTATGATTTTGCAAGATGTTGCACACATCTTCCCCATTAGACGGAATGCCATGTTCAGCATAAGCGAAAAATTGTACATTATCATAAGCGCTGCATCTCTACTGTGAAACATGGTGATGGCATCATCTTACTTTTGGGATGTGCCTCTACAGAAGGCGCAGGAAGGCTTGTGAGGGTAGAAAGAATGCAGGAAAGCGCAGGGAAACCCTGGAGGAAACCCTGATACAGTCTGAAAGAAAACTGAGCCTTGGGAGAAGATTTACCTTCCAGCAAAACAATGACCTAAAGGAAAAAGCCAAATGTGTACAACGATGGTTAAATATAACAGTGTTAACTACTTGCCCTCTAGAGGATTTACTCCCCTTTCTGACCAGGCCATTTTTTGTGATACGGCGCTGCATTACTTTAACTGACAATTGCACGGTCACGCAATGCTGCACCCAAATTAAATTTAATTTTTTGCGTTATAAGCAAAAAAGACAGAATTTTGAGAACAAAAACTAAATTTTTGACTTTGCTAGTAAACATATCCAGTAAAAATTAAAAAAAAAAAATCTAATTTCATCATACATTTAGGCAAAAATGTATTCTGCTACATCTTTGCAAAAAAATTTGATTGGTTTATGTGAAAGTTATAGCATTTACAAATGGTGGTATATATACTGGAATTTTCTTTTTTTTTCACTAGTAATAGCAGTGATCAGCGACTTATAGCGGGACTGCGGCGGCATTCTGATACTGGGGGGGAACTGACTTGGTGTCACTGACATCACCGTTGACACCAATACAGTGATCAGTGCTAGCAAAAAGTGCTGTCATTGTACTAATGGCACTGGGCAGGAAGGGGTTAACATGTGGGGTGATCAAAGGGTTAACGGGGTGCTGTTTCACCATGGGGGCTGTGTGTGTGTTTCACTGTAAGCACACTGCATTGTATGGCTCGGTTGTGCAGAGCCATACAAAGCAGTGTGCAGGAGCTGACAGGTGAGAGATCTGTATTGTTTATACACAGGTCTCTCCCCCATCCAAGATACTCGGCGATTGCAGAGTGCCGGCGGGGAATCACAGGCTGGGACCTGGTGATTGACAGCCGAGGATATGAATGGCGGCGCAGGTAGGGCGCACGTGCGCGCGCGCCCCCTAGCCGGAACTTCAAAATCACGTATATATGCATAATTTTGCGCACCCGTGCCGCCCTGTAGCAGTATTTCTGCTATAAGAAGGCGCAGAAGTGGTTAATGTCCTGAAATGGCAGACAATGAGTCAAAATCCAGAACTCAATTTAAAGAGTATATGGCTGGACTTGAGGCTGTTCATTTATACTACTCTTGCAACTTGACAGAGTTGAGCAGTTTTGCAAAGAGGAATTGGGAAAAATTGCAGCAGTAATACACTCATATTAACAACATTCATCTTCTACATGCTCTTAGTTCAGCTTGTGATAAATTCTCTTTGGAACAACTGACAAATTTCGGGAACATAAGAGCAGCCTGAAGAGGAGGTAACTGACTGAGTTAACCGGCTGAGTCTTGATATGAAAATGTCTGCTAAAAGAATGAAGAGAATCTAAAGTTGAAGTATTTTTAAATGGAAATTGTTGGCTTCAAAGAGATGCCATGAGCATTTAAGGACAAGGTTTTTTTTTTTTTTCGCAGGCTGGAATGAAGTGCAAAAATTGAGAAAACAAGCAGAAATGATATATTTAAAGAATAACCTGCTAACTAACCTCACACTGCTAACCAGGCTTTTGAAAAACAGCCTGCTTAGCTGTAATTTTTATAACTACATACCGCTCATAACCAGGCCCTCTAACAAACTACACGTTGCTAACCAGGCCATTTATAAAATAAACCCTAACATGGTCCTGTAATAAGCCACACATTACCAATCAAGACCCTTTTTTCTAAAAAAAAAAAAAAAAAAAACCAAACAAAACAAAAATAAAAAACAGACAAGTTATCTTTTGAACTGAACTCTGGAAGCAGAATCATGAATTTGATAACCTGTTATTTTGGGTACACACAACATTGGTACAGAACATCTGCTTTACAAAACACATCACTATTGCAGCCTTTTTGCATGTTAATGAATATTTAAAAAATGGATTGATTAGAAAAAAAAAAAAAAATTCACCGATTCTTCAGTTTAGCATACAGTATGTTTGTTATTGCAAGAGGAGGTGTAAAAAAGCCCATATATTCCCTCTATACACTCACCGGCTACTTTAGTTAGGTACATCTAGCTAGTACCGGGTTGGACCCCCTTTTGCCTTAAAAACAGCCTTATTCTTCGTGGCATAGATTCAACAAGGTGTTGAAAATATTTCTCAGAGATTTTGGTCATGATATGATGGCATCACACAGTTGCTGCAGATTTGTCGGCTGTATATCCATGATGCGAATCTCCTGTTCCACCACATCCCAAAGGTGCTCTATTGGATTAAGATCTGGTGACTGTGGAGGCCATTGGAGTACAGTGAACTCATTGTCATGTTCAAGAAACCAGATTGAGATGATCTGAGCTTTGTGACATGGTGCATTATCCTGCTGGAAGTAGCCATCAGAAAATGGGTACACTGTAGTCATAAAGGGATGGACATCTTCAGAAACAATACTCAGGTAGGCTGTGGCGTTTAAACGATGCTCATTTGGTACTAAGGGGCCCAAAGTGTGCCAAGAAAACATCCCTCCACCTTTACACCACCACCACTACCACCAGCCTGAACCATTGATACAAGGCAAGATGGATCCAAGCTTTCATGTTGTTTATGCCAAATTCTGACCCTACCATCTGAATGTTGCAGCTAAAATCGAGACTCATCAGACTAGAAAACGTTTTTTCAATCTTCAATTGTCCAATTTTGGTGAGCCTGTGCAAATTGTAGCCTCCGTTTCCTGTTCTTAGCTGACAGGAGTGGCACCCAGTGTGGTCTTCTGCTGTTGTAGCCCATCTGTTTCAAGGTTTGATGTGTTTTGTGTTCAGAGATGGTATTCTGCATACCTTGGTTGTAACAAGTGGTTAATTGACTTACTGTTGCCTTTCTATAATCTCGAACCAGTCTGCCCAGTCTCATATTATATCAAAAAGGCTTTTTCATCAACACAACTGCAGCTCACTGGATATTTTCTCTTTTTCGGACCATTCTCTGTAAACCTTAGAGATGGTTGTGTGTGAAAATCCCAGCAGATCAGCAATTTTTTATATACTCAGACCAGTTCAAAGTCACGTAAATCCCCTTTCTTCCCCATTCTGATGCTCAGTTTGAGGGGCAGCATTATAAGCCAATCAGGTTTCATTGCCCTGCATGGTGCTGTAAAATAGAGCTTTTTTATTGGAAGAGAGCGCAGTGATGATCTCATCAATGGGATTCCTTTTCTATCACTATTCAATCACAGTCTCAGCCAAGCTGTATTACTTTGACTGCAATAGGTAAAAGAAAATGATCAAGAACCTATATAGTGTCTAGATCAGTGATGGCGAACCTTTTTGAGCCCGAGTGCCCAAACTGCAACCCAAAACCAACTTATTTCTTTCAAAGTGCCAACACTGCAATGAAACCTGAATATCGAGCTTTTGGTTTAGAAAAAACAACTCGTACAGTAGTGCAAACTAATTAACAGTACAGGGATGACCAGAGACTGCGGACAGTACAGGGATGACCAGAGACTGCGGACACAGTACAGGGATGACCAGAGACTGCGGACACAGTACAGGGATGACCAGAGACTGCAGACACAGTACAGGGATGACCAGAGACTGCAGACACAGTACAGGAGATGACCAGAGACTGCGGACACAGTACAGGAGATGACCAGAGACCAGAGACTGCGGACACAGTACAGGGATGACCAGAGACTGCGGACACAGTACAGGGATGACCAGAGACTGCGGACACAGTACAGGGATGACCAGAGACTGCGGACACAGTACAGGGATGACCAGAGACTGCGGACACAGTACAGGAGATGACCAGAGACTGCGGACAGTACAGGGGATGACCAAAGACTGCGGACAGTACAGGGATGACCAGAGACTGCGGACACAGTACAGGGATGACCAGAGACTGCGGACAGTACAGGGATGACCAGAGACTGCGGACACAGTACAGGGATGACCAGAGACTGCGGACACAGTACAGGAGATGACCAAAGACTGCAGACACAGTACAGGAGATGACCAGAGACTGCGGACACAGTACAGGGATGACCAGAGACTGCGGACACAGTACAGGGATGACCAGAGACTGCGGACACAGTACAGGGATGACCAGAGACTGCGGACACAGTACAGGGATGACCAGAGACTGCGGACACAGTACAGGGATGACCAGAGACTGCGGACACAGTACAGGGATGACCAGAGACTGCAGACACAGTACAGGGATGACCAGAGACTGCAGACACAGTACAGGGATGACCAGAGACTGCGGGCACAGTACAGGGATGACCAGAGACTGCGGACACAGTACAGGGATGACCAGAGACTGCAGACACAGTACAGGAGATGACCAGAGACTGCGGACACAGTACAGGAGATGACCAGAGACTGCAGACACAGTACAGGAGATGACCAGAGACTGCGGACAGTACAGGGGATGACCAAAGACTGCGGACAGTACAGGGATGACCAGAGACTGCGGACACAGTACAGGGATGACCAGAGACTGCGGACAGTACAGGGATGACCAGAGACTGCGGACAGTACAGGAGATGACCAGAGACTGCGGAAAGCACAGGGATGACCAGAGACTGCGGACAGTACAGATGACTGCTGACCTTTGGGGAGGGAGGGGGAGCGGGTACCTGAATTTGACAGGTACCCGCTCTTACTTCCGCAGAGT